TCTGCAATTAGTTACACGAATTCAGATATGGAGCTTTAATAAGTTGTACTTACGCACAATCTACTTGTAATCTTGAGGTTTAAGTAGTATGCATTAATAAACAGTATTTTACGCATAAAAAGTAGTTTTTAAGAGTTTCTGTCAAATGCTTTATAATATAGTATATATTTTTTTTATAATTTAATTTAAGTTTAATAATGAAATAATTTATTTTTGGTTTAATAATATAACATTTTATAAAGGTAATAATTAAGTATTTTGTTAGAACTCAATGATTATTCTAATTATATTTTAGATTTTTTATATTTAAAATGAGATGTTTATCATGTATTTGATTGTATTTATCTGCAGTTAGTTACACAAATTTAGATATGGAGCTTTAATAAGTTGTACCTATGCACAATTACTTGTAATCTTGAGTTTTAAGTAATATACATTAATAAACAGTACTTTACGCATAAAAAGTGGTTTTTAAGAGTTTTTGTCAAATGATTTATAATATAGAATATTTTTTTTCTATACAATTTATTTTTGGTTTAATATTATAAATTTTATAAAGATAATAATTAAGTATTCTGTTAGAATTTAATGATTATACTAATTATATTTTAGATTTTTTATATTTAAAATGAGATGTTTATCCTGTATTTGATTGTGTTTATTTGCAGTTAGTTACACGAATTCAGATATGGGATGAAATCGGATAGGGATGAACGGGTTTAAGAGTTTTTAAGAGTTTTAGCCAAATGCTTTATAAGATAGTATATATATATATATATAATATTCAAGTATGTAAATAAAAATACACATATATTGATTGTAGTTTCATTTATATAAATGAGTTTACAGATATTTTGATTATATATATTGAATGCATACATACATACATACATATGTATGTATATGAGTATGTGTTCAATTATTTTTATGTAAATAACAAATAGAATCACATGAGATAAACGAATAAAAAAAATATATTGGGTATAACCAATGAAAATGAATTGTCTAATTAATTTAATGTTTTGATAATAATTACATCAATAAAAAAACAAAGTTCGAGAAAAAAAAAATTAGTATTGCGATGCCTAAAAATGTCACCTTATTGTTAGTGTTTTTTCTTACAAAATTACAAATTAAAAAACTATAAGAAAACATAAAAAAACATAAGTGAATCCACAAAAAAAAAAAAAAAAAAAAAAAAAAAAAAAAAAAAAAACTCAAAATTCTCACAAAATTCTAAAGCCTCAATGGAAACATCTCCTTAATCCATGTTCCAATGTCTTCTTACATATATTGATAAACTTGTATATACTCTTCTGCCATAGATGAGAGATGAAAAAGAAGAGGGAGGAGCGTGTCAGTAGTTTATAATTCATACATGGAGATGGAGAACACATAAATGAAAAATACCCAGAGATTGAGGGATTTAGAGAAAAACCAAGGATTGAATGATTTAAATGTTAGAGTTGAAATGTACCAAGAGAAGAGGAAGGGTTTTTGAGTTAAATGTGAACATCAATTTGCAAAATTACTAAGGAAAAAAAATCAAAATATGGAAAAAAAGAGGAAAATAGGATCTCTACATCGAGGAGACGCCACGTCAACATATAATGATTCTGCTTTATAGATATATATATAGATTGGATGAATATGACAAGAACCAAAAATCTCATCCATTAAGAAAGAGGCAAAAACTAAAGGTCTTACCCGGTAAGCGATAACTACGACTCTTACCACGGTCAGCGATTACCGGGTAAATTATTGCACATGAAGCCGTTTTTGTTGACTAAAATTTTACCCATTAAATAAATGTTAGTGTTGAATTTTCATGGTAAATACTTACCTTCTAAGTGTTTGATAAATGATCCCTTAGTCCCCTAATATTTTTTAACAAATAAATCATTAAACCTTTTGAATTTAAAAAAAATCAAACCAAAAGAAACCCGATAAACTTTCATGAGATCATAACGAACACATTTGATTGTCATTTGAATCTGAAAAATAAATAACGACTAATAAAAATGGTGTATTTTTTGTTTTTATTGTACTCTTTTACTGACTTTTGATGCATGGAAAGAAAAATGATATATTTCTTTCATTTTATAAATGTTATAATTTATTTGTTTAAAAAATTATTTAAAAACTTAATCGTTTAAAATATGATATTTTATTTATTTTTTAAATATTTTAATTTAAGAATTTATTTATTTGATTTTATAAACTTTATAAGATTCCTTTATTTAAAAACTAAAAGGTGATTAAATGGTTGTTTTTTTTATAACTTTTCATTTAACAAAAGCATAAATTACATGAAAAATAATATACTTTAACTTGATTCTTATTTTGGGGAACGTGCTTTTAAAGCTTTTATTTTGGTACTTAAGATGTAAATGTTTAAACATTTACATCTTAAGTAACATTTAAGTATTTAAATAAACGGTTGAAACATTAACCGGTTACCATATTGATGTGGCGAGTGATTTGACTTACCATTTGAACTAAAATTGAATAAAATTTTATACTAAGTTTGATAGCATATCCCTCGTCACATCAGCATGATAACCGGTTAATGTTTCATTCGGTTAACCAAATACTTACATGTTTAAAACTTTACATCTTAGGTATCAAAATGAAAGTTTTAAAAATACATTACTTAAAATAAGAATCAAATTAAAATACATTACTTTTTCATACAATTTGTACTTTGATAAAATAAGTTTTATAAATAACAGTTAAATTTAATTAAATTCGCACCTTTTAAACATTTTTTTGTCCTTTTTCTAATAAAAAATATAAAAATTAAAATTAAAAAATAACTTTGGTCTTTTCACATGACAGCACGCTTGGTTACGTAGGTCGTAGGGTACCAAGTGGTACCTACTTGGAAGCTTCACAACTAAGGAATTCTAGTTTCTTTGTGAATTTACATTATTGGTCCTTATACTTTTGAAATTCACACTTTTCTACCAAAACATTTTTAAACTTTCAATTTTGATCCTTTTCATACTGATTATGCCAGTTTACCAATTTCTCATCCTTTAGAGTTCTTGTCACGTATCTTATAGTCGTGTGTCTTCGATATTACTGAATATTCTAGATGAATCTAAAAAACTGTGAAATATGGTGGACTGGTGGAGTAAGGAAGAACCTTGTTGAGAAGTCGTAAGAATTAGTACTCGTTGAGTTATCCTCTTAGATTGAGGGTGAAATTAAGGGGCCGTTTATCTAAACACTTACCCAGTAAGCGCTTAATGATAAAATTCAACTCTATCGCTTACTTATTAGGTAAGATTTTATTATACCAAAATGACATCCTATGTAACAATTTACCAGTAAGCGTTTACCATGGTTAGAGTCATCGCCGTTATTTACCGATTAAGACTCTTTTTTCTTATCTCGCTCTTACCGGGTAAGACTCTTGATTCTTACATCTTTCTATAAGATAATGTGACCTAGTAAGCTCTTACCCAGGTAAGCGTCGGATAAATGATCCCTGAGATTTACCTTCCTCTGATGATCGTGAGACTGATGTTGTGAACGGGGTTCAAGTGGGTAGCAAAAACTACCTTTTCCATAACAGTCACGAGAATACAAAATGAACGAATCAAGTTTTCATCAAGTGAGAAATAGCTGAAGAAACGAAAAAAGTCTGTGAATCATGACCAAAACGAGGAACTGTTTTTTTTACCATCTCCAATAGCTATGCCATTTTTAAAAAAATTGGAGGTTTAGAAAAAAAAACTGCTCCAATAGCTATGCTGAATTTTGCCTAAAATAGAAAAAAAAAAAATCTCCAAATTTGGAAAAAGAAGGAAATGTAGCATACCTGTTAGAAATGTTGGTATCAAAGAAAATATCGTTTATTTTGATGTATTCAATTTTTTTACTTAATGTAGACATAAGGGAAAATTCCAATGAGAAAGATGAAAATGTGGATTGCGAATAAATAATTCATATGTGAATTAATGTTAAATCCGATAAAATCCATTTGAAAATTCATATATAGTAAAACTATAAATAATTAAAATAATAACAAAATAAAAATTATAAATTAAAGACCAATTAATTTTTCATAACGGTCGTTAATTACTATTGTTAAGTGAAAGAATGAAGTGTGTTATGAAAAAGAAAAGCTAAGGATTATCAATACAGATAATTTGTTTTGGGGTAAATTGCATGAAAAAACAACGTACTTTCAAAATTTTCATTTTGGTATCAAATATGTAAAGTTTTAACATTTAAGTACACGGATAACCGGTTGAAGACTAATTTTAAATTAAAAAAAATTAACTTTAGATTAAAATAATACATGTCACTAACCATGTCAGTAAATAATACTGAATTGAATACCATATCATAACTGAATAATACTTCAACCGGTTATCCATATACTTAAATATAAAAATAAAAGTTATAAAGTAGGATGCACAAAATAAAAATGAAGCTTGAGCCAACAAACCACAAAACGACCTATATGAAAAGTAAACTTCCATATGCTTTCGTTTTCTCACATTCTATGACTTCAGTCTGTAATGATATTTTTCATGGTTGAAGGAGAGAGAAAGAGAGACGACAGTTGATGGAGCCCGCCAAGAATTTGCACCTGTAATTTCTCAAAATCCAGTATATTATATGTATCATAGTCAATGGATGCATATAGCTGAAAACAAGTAAACCCTTTAGGGGTAATCATTGTCACTTTTCGAGTTCCTTTTCGATAACATCGATTTCAGTTTTCCAGTAGTTTGGTGATATCTATTGTCAAACGTTTTTTTACCTCCTTCATAATATTATTTGAAGTTTTCGTTATTTATTTTTGAGGATCAATTTAGGTTTTTTGATCAAAGTTAGGGGTTTCAATTCCGGTGTGAAGTGTTTTACTTTGGAGTATTGAATCTGAAGAATGATGTTTATATACATCTGTTCGTGTTTGTATATCGAGTAATTTGAGAGATTAAGGTGTGTTTTCTGGTTTATTTTATACTCTTCATAGTTGGGAAGGAGTTCGATTTTGTTTTGAAGAAGATAAATCTGTATAAATACATAATTTGAGAGGTAAGGGTGTCAGCTTCTTCTCTTTGATTCTTTCTGTTGATAAATAGTTTGATTTTGTTGAAGAAGAATCCACACACACACACATGCACACAGTAACCTGTGATATAAAGGGTGTCAGCATCTTTGCTGTTCGATTGATTCTGTTGATAATTTGCAAACAAATTGGTGAGATGTCAATGGTTGGGACATGAAGGTTTGTGGATATATATATATAGACATGAACATATATAGGGCTTTCAGCATAAGGAAATAACAAGTTTCAGATGGCTGTGGTGAATTCTGTATCGGCACAGGGTGCACAAAGAATCGATCAGATAAGGTATCCTGTTGTTGATAACTCAGAGATCATGGAAATTAGAGGTGAAATTGTTGAGGAAACATCTCCTAGAGAAGTTGAAGATAAAATTTATGTGGCGGTCGGCAAAGATTTGAAAGAGAGTCAGTCGATTCTTAGGTGGGCATTACACAATTCAGGAGGTAGACAGATATGCATCCTTCATGTTCATCAACCTGCAGAGAAGATCCCCATTAGTAATCTTTTTTTCCCTTGTGATTTGTTTCTATTTTAATTTTGCGTTAGTTAATGCTGGGAATTCAGTTAGTTTGGCCGATGTTTGATACATGCTATTGGTTTATCTCTTGATAATTTATAGATTAGAGAAGTTTGTTTACAATAGTTGTAAAAAAGATATTTGAAGATCATTTAATGCTTGTACTACAGGGTAAAATAGGCTTAAGAGCAAAGGATCATGACTCTATGTTCAATGATTCTTATGATGGGTCTCTTTTAGTACTCATAATAATACAATTATTTTGTGTTCAAGATTCTTACTTATTATATCCCCCTATAGTAAGGTATTTAACAAGGAATGCAACATGAACTCATCAAACTTAAATGAGGTTGCTTGATAGAGCATTTTTTCTTCAACATGGAAATTGAAAAGGTTTAATATCTGTAGGTGACTTTGTTTATCATCAAGGCAGACATGTTATTTCACATGTATATGCTAATGATCAGTTCTGATGAGACATGATCATTTGGGCATAGTTTAATGGATTTTATTGGGAATGGGTTTTAAGCTATCGATCTTTGATGTCTTCGATGCTTTCTGGGGATTGATATGTCTCAATCCCAAGAAGGGATTCTGTTATATAAAAGCTATTATGTATTGGATTTGTTTTTTGAGTGTAGGTTGGGCACCTTATGGTAAATTGAAAGCTATCCCAGAGGATGAGAAGCTTCTGAAAGCTGTGGAGAAATAAGATGGACTTAAGGAAAAGCTTAATTATCTATTCTGTTTCACAATGAGACATCTCTTACTTCCCAAAACAGCCTCTCTATCTCTTGGGATAGAGGTAAAATATGCGTACGTCTTACCCCCCCATACCCTATCTTTATAGGGTGGGATACACTGGTTTGGCTTGGTTTTACATCTCTAACTTCCTGATTTTGAGGTATCTCATTACCTCTTTAGGGAGATCTATTTTTGTATTTTGGTCAGGATCACCGTAAAAATTGGTGTCTTTATAGGAATGTGGAAGATTATGCAAATTAGGAAGGATGTTCCTTTTCTCGCTGGTCTTCCATTTGAACTATCATATTTTTGTGTGTAATAACCTTATCTCATGGATAAATAGGATCAACAAACAATATCATGGTAGACCGAATGAACACAAGCCTCATGGTCTATTTTGTGCAATTATAATTTGTAATCAAGTGTTGGTTAAGATGGAGGAGGATCTGTTGTTCAGTTACGACCGAGTGTATGAGCATTTTAATGCACATTTGACAATGTTCATTTAAATTTGCAGTGGGCACAAAATTTCGAATAAACCAACTGGAAGCACATCAAGTCAAGACCTTTCATGATGAGGAGAGGCAAACTATGCACCAGCTTATAGACAAGTATAAGCAGATTTGTCGTGAAGTAGGGGTATCATATCCTTTCATGCTCTTCCAGGAATTTTATTTGCTAAATCCATTATGTGTCTTTACACAATGCAAAATCTCAGTTTTTAACCCTGCTTTCTGGGATCTTGAATCTCCGAATCAAATTAGGTGTCTGTGGAGGTGCAACATATTGAAATGGAATCTATTGAAAAAGGTATTGTTGAACTCTTACTTCAGCATAATGTCAGAAGGCTTGTCATGGGAGCAGCTGCAGACAATAAATATTCGAAGTAAGTTATAAAGCTTCATAGGTTGCATTGCCATTAAGAGACGGCCCTAGAAATTTTTTCAAGTGGTGGAACCATTTGACTATAAGAAACAAATATATGGATATTTTCACAAAGTCAACAATGCTCTGGTGGTTAGTTCATTGCTTTTCATATATGAGGTCCTGTGTTCAAGTCTTTTATTGCAAGCTTTTTTAGAAACATAATAGAAGTCTTTTATTGCAAATTCTTTTAGAAACATAATGAATCTGAAATTAAAAAGCTAAAAACTAAGAAAATGACACTAATGGGATTCGAACTTGGGTCTGGGGTGGAAGAAAAGTCTTGCAAAATGGGAAACTTGTGTCCTCATTGTAGTTTCAAAATATTTACGGTGACACACAACAAATTGATACGGTGGCACTTTTCACGATCCTATAATTTTTTACACTACAACGGAGGAATGGAGCGGTGACCCGTGTCACCGTATGCACTACACTGGGTCCGTCGCCATTGCTTGATTATAAATGAATCTTACATTTCCATGCTTATCTTTCCTTGACAATATAGGAGAATGGTAGACCTGAAGTCCAAGAAAGCCATCTATGTACGATTACACGCAGCTGCTTCCTGTCAGATTCAGTTTATATGCAAAGGAAAAATCATTTTCACTAGGTATGCTTGACTTTCTACTCTTGTGTCATGTGTTGAATCAGCTTTTTCTCGGTGGGGGATAGGTGTGGCAATTGGTATTCATGGATAACCAGTTTTTTCTGCTTTTACTGTAAGCCAGACGTAGTTTTACTCCTGTCCTAGTAGTTGTCAGTATAGCGTTCTGTGTTTCATCTTATGTCTCTCTCATTGTACTGTTGTTTGTTTACACACACTCCTCCACTACTTCTCGCATATGTTTCTTTTTAATTTTTGTTTTGCAAGCTGGGGGTCTTCACGAAACAGCCTCTCTACCCCTTGGGTAAAGACAAAGTCTGCTTACATCCTACCCTCTAGACCCTACCTCTGTGTTGGATATAGTGCATTTGTTTGGTTTTTATGGGTAGCTCATTCATCGGCTGGATAAAATTCATGTCGGAACCCAATTAATATATAGGTATTAGATGGTGTACCCATGACTATGGGTGATTGGGTAACCATGGATGCTCATTTATGTACAATATTTCCAGGGTCTTCAAGTCTTGCAAGAGACGTGTGTTTTATTCACTGAATATAGTATATGTATGTGTGTGTGTGTAACCTGAAGCTCCAAAAGCATCAGAACAAAAACAAGCTTCAAATCAAAGGTAGAACAATATATTTAAATATCATTTATGAGATTTATCTAAATACCATAAGCAACCATCAAGCCTCCAATTCATATAATAGGTCAAGGATAGAAACTAACATATATAAGATCTTCCTAAGTGTTGGATACAATACAAGTAACGTTGACAAGTAGAAAAGTATTTAAAGTGAATAGAAAACATTTAACTTTAAGAGTAGTTCTATACTAGTGTTTAAGCTTAGGTATTAAAACTCGACTTTTTTTCATTCACCCTTGAAGGCCGTGTCCAATTAAATTTGGGTATGGCCGTATGGCATAAGGCATTATTGGCCTTATTTTTTGGAGTACCCACCAGTGTCTGCAGGTATAGGACGGATGAATGAAAATGTAAATCTTAAGAATAGTAGTCACTGGTATAGGTAAAAGGATTGCGGAGTCTAGTAGGGAGATATATTTTGGGGCAATAGTTTATACAAGAAAGAAGAACCATTGAACATTTAGGGTGCGTTTGGTATCTAGATAGGATAGAACAGGACAATGTCCGTTTAGTATTTGGTAAGACAGAACTGGATGGACAGAAGAGATAAAATGACCAATTTACCCCTAATGAGTTGTTTATATATTTTGATTAATTTATGTAATTTATTAAGTTATAATAAGATAAATATTTTTTATAATAAAATATATCATTAGAAAGTTTTCTTCACGACAATTAAATTGACACCAAAATAAAAGGTTCATATAGTTGCCAATTTTTATTTTGTACCTTTTCTACATTATTATTTTTATTATTAATATTTTAATAAATTACATAATTAATCAAAATATAGAAACCGTATTAAAATAATATTTTGAGGACAGTAAAGTGAAAGTTTAAAGAGCATAAAATACAATAAATAAAATTTAAAGAATGAATAAAATGTAAAGAGGGAGATGTATTTGATGTTTTAGAAGAGAATTAGAATTCCTTTTGAGGTTATATTGGTAAAATATATGTCTGTTCCACTTTGTTCCATGGGTGGGGACAGGGGGTGGAATACGCTTGTTCCACTCTGTTCCATATAAAACGTGGAACAGTGATCCTTGTTTTGTTCTGTCATATCCGGTGTACCAAACACACCCTTATTAAACATGTATAGGCCACAAATATGGTTAGAAACGACCAGAAGTTAATTGAATCTATGTGGAAACTAACGATTCTACTATTTCAATGCAGGCAAAGCAGGTTGGATGGACTTGGTGCTTCTATTTCATCTCCATCACTCCTACCAGATACAAACTCTGATTCTGAACAGAGTTCCTTGAGGTCAAAATCTGTTGGTGGAGCACAAAATACTAGATTAAGGCTCAATAGTCTAACTCCCGAGTACCACAGAGGCATGTCTGACAATCGTGGGATTAGAAGACCAGTCATCACATTGCCAAATGACAATCTTGAGTCAACTCCAGTGAGTAGGCTAAATGCAGGAAGGGCCTCTGATGAATGGAGTGTGATTTCACAGAGAAGTCCTTCGATTGGTTCACGATTGTCTACATGTTCTAGTGACCTGGTGGATGATTCAGCTCTGATCCCATATGCAACAATCGGAAGTGGTGAAATTAGATCAGACTACAGTGCTGTGCCTGGTTTCTTAGAGGACATTCATCGTCCTTCACCTCCCAGTGTCCTAGTATGTAAAACTAATATCCTTGTCCTTCACACTTCGCTGCTACCTACCATACTTGTTTCCTTTTATTTTTTGTTTTTGCAAGCCGGGTCTTCACGCAAATAGCCTCTCTACCCCTTGGGGTAGAGGTAAAGTCTGTATGCATCCTACCCTCCCAAGGTCCTACCTCTGTGGAGGATATTCATATACCGAGTTCGTTTGGTTTAGTTTGATATCTTTCATGTAAGCATGTTGTGTGATCGAATATGTTGATGTGCAACTGTTTTTGTACATTTTCAGTGGTAGAACCAGATCATGTTTACGTTTCCCTATCTTAACCCTTTGGAGTTCATTAAAATTTTATGTGAAACTATAGCAGGAAGGAGGTATGAATGATGAGCTTTACGATCAGCTTGAACGAGCCATGGCGGAGGCAGGCAATTCCAGACGAGATGCATTTGAAGAGTCTATCAGGCGCAGGAAGGCAGAAAAAGATGCCATGGAGGCTAAACGCAGGGTAAGGTTCAAGTCTTCATCTCAACTAAGGCTCCTTTTCATATTTCTTACCCTTTTGCTGCTTATCTGCGGCCTATACTTATGTTTTCTAGTTTCTATTTGTTTTATTTTGTGCAATCCGGGTGTGAGGTGTCTCTCAGAAACAGCCTCTCTTTCTCGTTCGATAGGGGTAAGGTCTGCATACATATTTTACCCCCAGACCCTACCTTCGGGTGGGATATACATATACAGGGTCTGTGTGGTTTGGTTTGCTTTGTGGTTAACTTCCTACATTTTTCTTTGATCATTCAATGGTTCTCATCATTCTAACATAGGGGCTGTTTGTTTGGTTTTCCATTAAGTCCTGTATGGATGAAGTTGTCGAAATCCCATTCTTTTTTCATATTTTTCTTTTTTTTGTTTGGGGGGGTCTTTTCATAGGTAGAAGGAACATGTTTTTTAATTGGGAGGGGAAGGTTTGACCAAAACTTGGCTTTCTGCATAAAGCTTCCCCTAGAAGCATACTGAATAAGCCACTTTCTACATCGTTAAGCCACACTACCAAACAGTCATGTATAGCTAACCAAATAAGTTGTGAGGCCCATTAAGCTCATTAAGCCGCTAACAAACAGGCCCATAGTAGGCTTCACCACTGTATTCGATATCTTTTTGGTGTCACATCCATCCCACATCGGTAAGTACGAAATGTGAAGCTTCTTGTAATTCCTCTGGCAGTGGACCACTAATAACTTTTGACCATTATTTTAGTTAATTTCGAAGTTATTCTGTAGCTTTGCTGGTTTGGGCTTGGGGCATTACAGAGGGTAGTTAAATCGCTTGCTCCTTGAGGTTGTCCTACGTTGGGTTCATGTGTTTCTTGGGGAGAATTGGATTATGATTCCAGAATTCATTTAGGTTTCTATTTAGGCCTGATGAGGTCGTTTCAGGGTGCATTTGGTACACTGGACAGGACAAAACAGAATCGGGATCACTGTTCCACGTTTGACAGGACTTTTATGTGGAACAAAGTGAAACAGGCGTGTCCCACCCCACCCCACCCCACCCCATGGAACAAGGTGGAACGGACTTATGTTTTACCAATATAACCTCAAAATAAAACCTAATTTTCTTCTAAAACATCAAATACGTCTGCCTCTTTACATTTTATTCATTATTTAAATTTTAATTTATTGTATTTTATGCTCCTTAAACTTTCACTTTACTGTCCTCAAAATATTATTTTTGTACGCTTTCTATATTTTGGTTAATTTATATAATTATAAATATTAACAATCTATACTATCTTATTAAGCAAATTTACTAAAAATCTTAAAGTCTTAAAATATTAAATGACCAAGATACCCTTCATACTACCCTTAAGTCACTTTTTCACCCCCTCCTCTCTCACATACACTCACCCCCTCACATACACTCACCCTCTCAAAACCGATTTTTTTAAATTTATATTTTTTACCCCTATAATTAGTTAATTAATTTACTTTACGTTCTTTACTTTTAAATGTTTCATTTTAATTTATACTATCTTATTAAGCAAATTTACCAAAAGTCTTAAAGTCTTAAAATATTAAATAACCAAGATACCCTTTATACTACCCTTAAGTCACTTTTTCACTTTTTCATTTTTTCACTTTTTCACTTTTTCACCCCCTCCTCTCTCACATACACTCACCCTCTCACATACACTCACCCTTTCAAAACCGATTTTTTTAAATTTATATTTTATACCCCTATAATTAGTTAATTAATTTACTTTACGTTCTTTACTTTTAAATGTTTCATTTTAAACTTTTATCAAATTAACATACATAATCGTATATCAATTAAAACATGTTTAAAAAATACATTTTTATTTTAACAAGTTACACCATTATAATCGTCTCGTTAATATCTTCGAAATGAGTCCGATATTGAATAGTTTTTGACTTAATTATATTATTATATATTATATATATTATGAAAAAATATTTTTAATATTTATGATTTATGATTTATACTTTTATAATTATTTATTTATATATATACTATATATTTTAGGATCAGACTGTCCAAATTGCACTATATAATATGTTCAGAATTAATATATTCTTGGGGTTTTTGAAATATATACATACATGTATTAATTCAACTTTAATCTGAGTTTCTAGACAAGAAAGAGGGTAAGCAGTTGAAATTTCATTCTAAAACCCATCTTTTTTGGTCTTTTCATAGCTTATGATCTATCAAATTTGTAGTTTTCTTTATTGGTTTTGAGTGTTTATTTTAAAACTCAAGGTTTTTGGTTCTTTTCTCTTGGTGTAAATCAAACACATTTGTGGAGTCGTTTAAATATGTTGGATTTTAAATATATTGGATTTTAAACTGTCATACAATTTTTTTCATCGATAGTCTGTAATTGGAACCATAACTCTTATTTATTCAAATTGTTTTAATATGTAAAGACCAAGTGTAACATATATCATCGTTAAATCTTATCTTATAAAACCAGTGGAACTTCAAAATCGTGATAATTCATGGCTCCCGCTGCATTGCGTGGGTACACAACTAGTAATAAAATAATATGGAAATGATATAAAATAAGAACTGGAAACTACATTAACTTTTTAGTTCGGTGTCATGTTAATCGTGTTCTCGAAAATTTTCTAATGATACATTTTGTTATAAAAATATTTATTTTATTATAATTTAAAAAAATTACATAAATTAATCAAAATATATAAAAGATATAAACAACTCATTAGGGTAAATTGGTCATTTTATCTATTTTGTGCTGTCCAGTTTTGTCTTACCAAGTTCAGCTGTTATACCTTGTCCTGTTCTGTCCTGCCTATCTGGACACCAAATCCCTCCTTCGGGTAATTTCCTAAAATTGTAAACTATGTTGTAATATTTGAATAATCTTACAGGTTAAAAGATCTGAAAGCTTGTATGCCAACGAATTGAGACAAAGACGAGAGATTGATGAAGAGCTAGAAAAAACTAAGGAAGAACATGAAGATATCAAGAAGGAGCTAGATGAAGTCGCAGAAGAACTCCGCATGGCACTTGAACAGAAATCGTTTCTCGAAAGTCAAGTTGCAGATTTTGATCAGACTATACAGGAGCTGGAACAGAAAATGTTTTCTGCCGTTGAGCTACTGCAGAATTACAAAAAGGAACGTGATGAATTGCAGGTAGAGTGTGATGATGCACTTAGATCGTTAGAGGAACTGAGGGAGAAGCAAGCAGAAGAATCCTCGAGCTCAAGCACGTCCCGGTTATACACCGAGTTCTCGTTCTCAGAAATCAAAGACGCCACTTGTAACTTCGACCCGTCTCTTAAGATTGGAGAAGGAGGTTATGGAAGCATATTCAGAGGTTTCCTTCGGCATACTGACGTGGCCATAAAGATGTTAAACTCGCATAGCCTGCAAGGATCCTCGGAATTTCATCAGGAGGTATGATGGTTATACCTTCTTCTTGTTCAATTTTAATTATCTAAGATTTGAAATTGCTTTTTTGCTCAACAAACATGTATTGTTTCTCGGGAAATTGACAAAATAGCCAAATCACCAAATAAGGTTTCATTTTTTAGCCATTTTCTGACCCAAATTCACTCTTTAGCCAATCCTTATGTGGAAGGCTTACGCATATGCGTAAGGATTGGTTTTTGGCAAAATAAAATAAATAAAAAAAGAATCCTTACGCATATGCGTAAGGATTCCACTAGAATTGCGTATGCATAAGGATGCTACTAGAATTGCATATGCGTAAGGTTTATGCGTAAGGATTCCACTATAATTGCAGCAACCTTACGCATATGCGTAAGAGTTCTTTTTTCTTTTGGCCGAAAACCAATCCTTAGGCATATGCGTAAGCCTTGTGTATAAGGATTGGCTAAAAAGTGAAACCACCTATCAACTTTGGCTATTTTTGTAAATTTTTCTTGTTTCTCTTATCAGGTAGTTTTTTTGGGTACGATTGACCCAAAAAAGCCACCTACTATTAATGATGGTTCATTCAACTATATACTTTTACTTGAAACTTAGGTTGGACATGGCAACTTTAGGCATTTCTGAGGACATGATCTATGATAGGAGTTTGGTGGAGACGTAGGATTAGGGTTACTCGTATTTTATCTTATATGTTCTTTTTCCTTTTCCGTACACTTTTCGCAAGCCGGGGGTCTTCACAAAAACAACTAATCTACTCTTTGAGGTAGAGGTTAGTCTGCCTACATCTTACCCTAAAACGTCCTGTAGGCCCCTTCGAGCTTTCAAGCTTCGAATCAACTAGTCATGGGCCTGAAACAGAGTCCTGTAGCAAAAGTTATGGCCGTTTAACCGGGATGCCCCTTAGCCCTATCATGGGCCTCCATGAACAGTAAGGCATGGTCCTCCATGCCAAGGCCCAGATCATGGTGTGTCTTCTTAAGTTAACTTTGAAGTTTTCTTGATCTGTGGAAGTTGTATATTGGCTCTTTAATGCCTTCCTTTGTCTAAGTTTGGACCATCCTAAAGAATTAGATACCTTGTTGTATCTTTTGTAGTTTTTATCTTGTAAATAACCTCCTATCATAGGTGGAAAAAAGGTCTGCTCAGCTTCCTCATGGACAATTCTTTAGGCATATGATTGCTTAATTTGATGACCTGACGGTTACTCCCTCCGTCCCAAAATAAGTATCAACATTTCCATGTTAGAGTCTGTTTGTTTGCAGCTTAATGGGCTTAATGGTCGTGTCTGGTACTGCATGGTTCCACTCTGCAAGAACTTGTTACTGTGAAAAAATATGCTAGACGCGCTTACTCGCAGCTTATTTGGTTAGCTATACATAACTGTTTGGTAGTGGCTTGATGATATGGAGAGTGGCTTAGGGGTTGTTTGGTTGATTTTCCATTCAGTCCTGTATGGATAAAGTTGTCTGTGTGGATTAATCTGTCTGTATAGATTGGGAAAGTTTTCGTTTAGGAGGGTTTTTCATAGATGAAAGAAGTGTTTTTTTTTTCTAATCCAGAGGGTTAGGTTTGGAAAAAAAATTGGCTTTCTGCATAAAGCTCTGCCCTAGAAGCTTACTGAATAAACCTCTACCAAACAGTCATGTATAGGTGACTAAATAAGCCACCACCAAACAGGTATAGCTGACTGAATAAGCTGTGATCACAGGCCCTTATTCAGTAAGCTTCTAAGAGGGAGCTTTATGAAGAAAGCCAAGTTTAATCAAAAGCTGGCCCTCCCAATTAAAAAACAAAGCTCTTCCATCTATGAGAATACCCTCCCAAACAAAAACCTTCCTGATCTATACAGACAGACAAATTAATCCACACAGTAAGCTTTATCTATACAGGACTTAGGGGATGTTTGGTTGATTTTCCATTGAGTCTTGTATGGATAAAATTGTCTGTTCATAGGCTTTCTGCATAAAGCACCCCCTAGAAGCTTACTGAATAAGCCACTACCAAACAATTATGTATGGCTAAATGAATAAGTTATAAGTCTCATTAAGTTGCTAACAGAAACAGGCCCTTAATGGAAAACCAACCAAACAGCCCCTTATTTTGTCCCGAAATTAGTGTCCACTTTCAAAAACAAATGCCTACTTTCCGATATTACCCTTGATTGAGAAGGACAAACTCATTACTCCCTCTATTATGAAATGTAAAATTGTCATTTAGTTGATTAAAAATTGTAATAATCACATATTTCTAAGAATGTGTGCCTTTTTTTCATGGTCGATATTATTCTCTATATGTCAGGTCGATGTTTTGAGCAAACTGAGGCACCCAAATCTTGTAACCCTGATCGGAGCCTGCCCTGATGCTTGGATAATCGTCTACGAGTATCTTTCTGGCGGAAGCCTCGAAGATCGGCTCAACTGCAAAGACAATACTCCTCCATTGTCGTGGCAAAATAGAATCCGAATAGCTGCTGAACTTTGTTCGGTTCTTATTTTTCTTCATTCTTGTGATATCGTTCATGGTGATCTAAAGCCCGCTAACCTTCTTCTAGACAAGAATTTGGTTAGCAAATTAAGTGATTTTGGAATCTGTCGCGTGCTCTCCCAAACCGAGTTTTCAAGCAACTACACATCTTTGTGCTGTAGAACCAGCCCGAAGGGTACATTTGTGTATATGGATCCAGAATTTATTTCTACAGGAGAGCTTACCTCAAAGTCAGATACGTACTCTTTTGGTATTATTTTGTTAAGGTTATTAACGGGTAAGTCACCTTTGGGGTTAACGAAGGAAGTGCAACATGCGTTGAATAAAGAAAATTTGAAGAATATATTGGATCCGACGGCTGGAGATTGGCCGTTTGTGCAGGCACAACAGTTGGCTCTTTTAGCGATGAATTGCTGTGATGTTGTTCGTGAAAATCGGCCAGATCTTGCATCAGAGGTGTGGAAGGTGCTTGAACCGATGCGGGTTTCATGTGGACTCTCGTCGTTCCGATTCGGTGCAGAAGGACGATGCCAGATTCCACACTACTTTAATTGTCCAATCTTTCAGGTTAGTTTTCAACTTTTATCCCTTCCCTTTTTTGAAATCACTATTAATGATCGCAATTAGCCAAATTAGACAAAAACGGTTGGAAAGCAAGGACTTGGACTTGGGTTATGTTCGGCAAACTAGGTGATGAGCTAGTTGTTGGCTGAAAAGCTAGCTGATGGCTGATAAAAAGTAAAACTAGTTGTTGGCTGAAAAGCTGGCTGTTTGCTAATAAGCTAGCTAAATTTAGTTGCATTTGGTAAAACTTGCTGATAAGCTAGATGCCGATGTGAAATGAACTGATAGTACATGTTGAAAAATTATTTAATTTTAACATATAAGGGGATAAAAAGAGAATACCCATGGAGCTTATTGAAAAGTTTTTTGAAGTAGTTTTTCAAAAAGCTAGTTTATGGCTAACCAAACAGGATTTTTTCAGTAAGCTTAAAACAAGGATTTAGCTTGTGGTTAATAAGACCAACCCATATAAACTATAAGATATGTGGAACACCATCAGATACTCTTTCAAAAGAGCCCGGAAGGAGTGTTCCAACGTATATAGAAGAGAAAGGGTCCAAAGTCTAGTCAATATGACACTCGAACACGCCCCTTCCAAAGGAAGCTAGCCCATAGCAAAGGCGGAGCCAAGAATTTTGTTAAGGGTGGTCCTCTTTAATTAAACTCTCTCTCTCTCTCTCTATATATATATATATATATCTCTCTCTCTCTATATATATATATAGAGAGAGAGAGAGGGGCGCCAAATCAAATACAAACCGCCTAAATGTTAAACACTGTACAAACCAATCTCAACCATCCGTGCAGATTATCAATTCAATGTCAACGGTATGGATTAAATCGGTTCCGAAATTTACTCTTATCAACAATTGATTTGGTAACCGCCTAAAAATTTCAAAATACACAAATTCAAGGGCCACGATTGGTTTGTACGACATTTAGGTGGTTTATGATTTGTCCTCTCTCTGTATATGAGGTTTCAAATACAAACCATAACCAACACTTATGTTTAGGAAACAATCGAGATACTTATGGATGATAATCATGATTCATTCTTTATAATCGAGATATTTATGGAAGATGATGAAGTTCATTCATTATCATCATGGCTTTAAATTATAAAACAATCGAGATATTTATGAAACCAGATATTTATTAGACTAGATAAACGTTTGAGGTTGGTTTGTAAGAATTACATTATTTGCCGGTGACCCCTCTGGGCCAAAGCTCCTCTGCCGCTGGCGTATAGTGTCGAATCCTGGAGTGGTAGACTTTGGCCTATAGTGTCGAATCCCATTAGACTACTCTTCAAAAGAGTTCAAGTCTAACCAATATGACACTCCAACACGCCCCCTTAAGGGAGGCTAGCCCATAGTGTCGGAGTCTCTTTAAGTGGTAGACTACGACTCTGATACCATGTGAGAATATCCGGAATCCCATTAGATTACCCTTCAAAAAGAGCCCTTAAGGAGAGCAACAAGATACGCAGAGGATAAATGGTCTAAATTTAGTTGATGTGGGACTCTTACAGACATTAAAAAACTCGACCGCAATTGGTTTAACAAAGATTTGGTTTGTGGGGGCGCAGGAAATGATGCAAGATCCAGTGGTGGCTGCTGATGGATATACTTATGAAGCAGAGGCATTAAGAGGATGGTTAGACAGTGGACATAACACCTCACCCATGACCAACCTTGAGCTAGCCAACTCCAACCTTGTCCCTAACCGTGCTCTTAAATCAGCCATTCAAGAATGGCTCCAACAATCATGAACCATTTTCCCAGTTTATTACATACATGTGTATACATAGATGAAAAGAAGTTATGTCTATATATTATAGGGGTTTAATCATTTGAGAACTCGAAAGTTTGTGAGATTCGTGAGAACAACTACTTTAAGGTTTTGTTTCACGTGATTTTTTCCATCTAAGTATAATATTTAATGTATTGATTAACATATATTTGTTTTATAGACTTGATTTCCGGTAAGAATATAGTTGTCATGAGAAGGGTAAGTAGGGATTTCCACCCTTGGATCAATTCTAAGAAGTTCAATTGAAAATACCCCTTTTAAGCTAATTCATGGGTTATTTTGGGACTTACTTCGGATCATTAGATCAACACACCAGCTTTCGTCTTGTTTCTCAATGTGTTTGTTTCATATGTATTCAGTTTACAATATGAAACTTTTTTACGTGTATTTTTTTGTTCACAAATACGCCAAAAAGGTTCATATTGTAAACCGAGTACATGTGAAACGAACACATTGTGAAACAAATATATGTTAATCATTATATTAAATTCTAGTCATAGATGAAAAAATAATAGGAAATAGCACATGATTCATTGGTTTTTTTTCTTGATTAACTTGGATATCCAACCCGCTATGCGAGCCGACTAATCCCAGGGCAACCACCTGCTTTGCAGATAGCCCAGAGTCACCGCATTTGAACCTTCGTGCCCTCTTGATATATATATATATATATATATATATATATATATATTGCATTCTTGTATGGACAACTAACGATATTTGATCTTTGCGTTTTATGTATAAGTCAGGTAGGATCTTTGTATTCTTTTATAATCCCGTCTGAAGAATTTTATCTGAATATGTGGCTTACAGTTGTGTTTTCTAATTGTTTTACTCGACCTTTTCGTAAGCCGGATGTTTTTTTTGGAAACGTTACTGTTTTTTGAGATGGACAAATGTAACTTTTTTTATATATACTATCCTTGAGATCATACATTAGTTGCTATTAGAATGTTACATGTTAATATTATATGTTGTTTTCTAATTTTATCGCTACCCCCATAACTTCTACCAAACAGTATCGGTCTTTGTATTTATCTCAACAATCCCTTGAATTTATATATGCTTTTTTATCGGTTACAAGATTCTGTAAAATGTCTTATATCTGTACTTTAAAAATGTCTCAAAACATGTATTTCATCAAAAATACTGCTACGACATACAAATGTTGAAAGTGTGATAATTTTGTAAGAACAGGTGATTGTAGACAATTTGTGAAAATATAAATGCGGAAAAAAACATGGGATTTTATGCACAAACAAGTATCTGGTTTCAAATCACAGATTTATTCACGTTGATCATTCAAATTGTCTCAACATACCATTTAGATGACTGCTAATGAATCTTCAGTGGAACGACACAAGGGGCGAGATATTCGAGAAGCAAACAAGTACTCTCGGACCATGGTGAATCAAAGAGCACGGTTACAAAAATGAACTCAGAATGTATAACACTATCATTTAGTGAGTACATCATTAGTGGCATATGCATAGGAAATTTTGGAAATTACATCTTTTCTTTATTACTGATAATTATAAAACAGATTTCAAACGAACTTGAATATGAGTTTTAAAAAGCTGCCAACAAAAAGACCCAACCCTTGTTAAAAAGCTTGGTTTCTGGCCCCTAAGCCCGACACAAGTCAATATCCGGAAAGGTGTCAAAGCCTAGGCCTAGCCTAGACCTCAATTCCCAATTAAGCCAAGCTTTTTGTCTAGGCCCGAGCTAACCCTGTCAAAAAGTTCGGTTTTTAATCCAAACCCAGTACAAATCATCTCTCGAAAAAACCCATATATAAGCCCAGTCAAGTACACAAAACATATACTAGGAGTTGTTTGTTTACCTCATAATAGTTCCATTAAAAGGTAACCTCTGAATCATTAAGAGGTGAATCTTGTTTGACAAAAAAAAAAGTTTGCCTTTTAATGGTTCTAAAATCCTCCGAATGATTTTGTATCCTGGATCTCTCTTAACAATTAAGAGCCCTAATTTCATTGTACACAATTACCAAACAATTATATTTCATTTTGCACTATATCATGAGAGCCTCTAAATCATTCTGATCACATAATCATTCTAGACCAAACCATTCAACAATTGTCAAACAGCCCATTCATCTATTCAAAAAACAAATCTAACAGTTTTCTAGAAACTTTTATAAAGTATGTGCAATTAAAAATAAATGAAAACAAAAACAAAAATAAAAATTTGGATGATAAATAATAAATCATTGGACACTTGTCATGATACTATTGGTTCAACCACGCAAGTAAAAGAAGGATTTATTACCGACCTCCCGACCTTCGTAGGGAGCAGCTCGTAACGAAATTCTAAACAAAAATGGCGCAAGAAATTGAGACTCCGACGTCAACAACAGCATCAGGATCCGAGAATCCACCGAATCCGTCTAGTTCATCAAAATCCGATCCTAAGCAGGTACGAAGCTTGATTGATTTCAATTTTGTTTGTTACTACAGATTTTGACATCGCAAGCTTCAAGTAAAGATCCGTTTTAGGGTTCTTTTTTTTTTGTTTTACAATTTTCCTAAAACCATTATTTGATTGTTTTCAGTTTTTGTGTGTATGTGTCTATAGGGCATGATATTAATGAGGACGATGATCTGTAGGTGTAAGTTGATATGGAAAATATTAATGTTGCTAATACGTGCAAAACCCTAATGGGAAAATTGATGTGGAATTTTACCAAGAATCATATAAAATGCTCAATGAATTCAACACGAAAAAACAAGGACTTACAAGACGAAGATTCAATGCTGGATGCTTTATAGATTTAAGACGAATAATTTCCTATAGGTCGCACTTGTTACAAAGTTTATTGTACACTTCCTGTATTTGATGCATTTGCCCAACACCCTCGTGAAAAATTTGGTGTACTTGTAAGACAAGTTTATACGTTAAGCATCTGATCCTTGGTCTGTGATCTTCGTTGTGACGTTATAGCTTTTTGTATCTTCACTAGATTATGGGAATTGGACAATTTATGTGTTTTTCTTGTGAGATTGTGATGACTAGTTTAATGCACATGTTAATATTGAGCTAGGTATTTTGGTACCTCTATCTGTGCTGTTCTGTGATGCATTTATGTAAACTTGCTGTATTAATATGCTGCTGTTTCTGGTTCAACCATGCAGAAATGGCAGCTCCGTTTGCCATGTTTTACCTTTGAAATTTCATTCAAGGTTTATCTTTCCTACAGGTTTTTGGTTGTAGTCTACATATATAAGAGAGTAGAACCTTGAATAGACACACTGTTAGTTTCTGGGATGGTTTTTGGTTGTAGTCTACACCATCAGCTATAAATAACTTATTAAGGTTGCTCTAGGTACTAGATTATTGGTGCTTGTGAACGGTTATTTTTCAGTTTCCTTTCTGGGATGGTATTAAATACTCCATCTGTCCCGAAAGAAATACATCTTTGACTTGACATGTAGTAATTCGGGAGTACTTTGACTAATAATCTAGTACCTAGAGCAACCTTAATAAGACAAAGTGAAAAAGCTCGTGCACTGAAATGAGTATCACCAGTAACTTGTAGTAATTGCTATTGGGAAAATAAATAATTTGGATTGGAATCTTACTAAAAGATGAAATGTTTCACATTTTTTGGAAGAAGCCAACATCAGAAGTGTTCTACTTTTTTCTGGGAAAGAGGGAGTATAGCAACTTTGGGCGCTCTATTCATCAAATCCAGCAGACACACAAAACCCATCATAGATAGTGAAAAAGAGGAAGAAAAAGAAGCAAGAGAAGATTCAAGTGTGTGTGGTTATGTGAGCTAGAAAGAGAAGTGGGTTGAGAAGAAAGAAATAATCTGTACAAGGTATTTTGGTCACTTTATTGACCCATCTTTAAGTAGGGAAGAGTAGCTCACTTGGCATGGATGGCGACGCCGTTATGGTGTAAGAACAGTGGGATGAAACGGTTTCCTCATTCTACTTCAGATATGGAGTGGATTACATGTATATATACATACATACATATATGAATTTGTGATGAATAGTGCTTAAGAAAGAGGTCTTCCAATTGTAAGGCATTATGTATCTAATATGCGTGGTAGAACCTCTTCCCCGAGCATTATCCATCATGTGAGTTACCTTAAACACTCTTGCATGTGTGTATGTATGTATGTATGTATGAGGAGAGAGAGATGTGGCTTGTCCTACTTTCCAGTGGCAGAGCTGGGAGCCACACAAATACGAATTGTGGGTTGAGTGCATGGTCAGGTTGCCCTCCCAACCATGCTCTATCTTTTTTCAGGAAATAGTTCTGCTACATCTCTAATAGAGTAAGGCCATATAATCCCTTGTTGAGGCTCTGTGTAATGTGACTACTCTGGGGGCTTCTGCCCCTGAAATTGTCACTTAATTGTGTTCCCTCTGGCCCTCCGTGAGAGAAAAAAGTTAGCTGGCACAGTATTGAAGATCAAGTTGGATATAAAAGAACTGAATGGTTCTTTTCCCAGCTGCCTTTATGGCTTGTTCCAAAAAAAGTGAAAAGGTACCACACTTCACCTGGTAATATTAACAGAATGTGTATTGAGGGATCTGGTGAGTTTAGCATAATACTAGTGGTTGGAAACCGTCTGGTATCTTCACCTGTTATCCCAGGCATGGCACCAGAATTCATTTCATTATGACTAGCAAGGGGGAGATATGCTGCATGCTGCCATTTATCCAGCTAGATAATTAGTCAAATTATATGTTAAGAACCTTGTCTGGGTGGTTTTTAGCAAAGTTAAGCTTCTCGACTCTTGTTCTTAATTAACTTTCATAGAGAAAGTAATACAGAAGATGGAAGATGGAAGAGGAGTGGAGAGAAATTGAGAAGGTTGTATTCCAAATGATGATGAAAATTAGAGGAATGCATGGGTTTATATGGTACTTGAGAGACTAATCTAGAAATCTATTTAAGATATCCAATTTTATGATATTTAAGAAACCTATTTAACTCCAACCCCTAGACTCCACATAATTACATTAATGTTATTATGTTAAGGTCAATCTACAGAATATGTTAATGCTACCAACTACCAACTAAATAGAAATATGTACATATTTTTACCTTCTTTATTCAGTGGGTGGAGAATGAAAATGGATTTCATTGATGGTGTCTTGTTTGAAAATGGATTTCATTTATGCAACTTGCTTTGCTGAGAACAGCATGTAGTTAATTAAGCAAGAAGTAGCACCCCCGACTACATGGAAGAGATGTTAGTGTGCTTAAGGATTTTTGCTTGATCATCCATAGTTTTCACAATGTTTGATTGTATGCATATTTTAATAAATTTAGTTCGACCAATATGAAACTCTATTAAACCCCGTATTTCTGAATTGATTACATTGGGCCCAAAAGCTCTTTGGATGTGCAACTTTTGTGAAAGCCTTTGTCATTGTAATTTCAATCACCTAATAATCCATCTATCTTTGTTGCAGTTACCACCATTCTATGGCTTTGCAGCACCAAATGGCGAACTCCCAATGTTTCCAATCATGTATCCAACACTTGTTCCTGGTATATACCCTCCCCAGCAAGGTCAGGAACAAATGGATCATGGAGCTGGCATATATGCAGTTCCCACCTTTCCAAATTCATTCATGGGGCCAATTGCTGGATTCCCATCCAACCATCTCATCCCTTTTACTTACAACGTTCCTACGTAAGCATCTTTTCAGCTTCTGTAGCCAGTCATTCATCTTTGCATAAATTTCAAAATGTTTCTGATTCATAGAATCTGGATTCATCCATATTCTACTAATGTCTCTTTTATGATAAGCAAATGTGATTGTACTTTATGATTCTTCAAATATTCACAAATACATTCGTTGAGGGAACTGTCATCTATTCTATTAATATAACAGTGAAAAGGTTTCACTTTTGATCTTATGATAGATGAGTAAATTGATTTAGAGAATTAAATTCTTGGTCTGCAAAAAAGATGCATTTTTTTGTTGAGCGTCTTGAGATTAATATATTTTCACTAACCCTACCCCTTTGGCTGATAAAGAAGAAAATAAATATAATATGGTGTTGGTGTAAACATATAATTTCTGCTAAAATATTACTCACTCCATCCCAAAATAAATATCCACAATGAAAATGACCCTTTTAAGAATGTGCAATTATTACACTTTTTAAATGATGAAATCACTCTTTTACCTTTGATAATAGAAAGAGAAACTTTCTCCATCTCATATTTAAGGGTAGAATGGGAAGTTGGAAACTTACTTCTAAAAACGGACACTTATTTTGGGACAAACTAAAATAGTAATGCGGACACCTAATTTGGGATGGAGGGAGTAATATCAAAACTTAGAGTGATCAATAGTAGCATCTCTAGAATATTTATACGATAATCGAAATGTATAAAAAATAATTCATTTATACCTTGTACTTTTGGTGGTTGATAATGTATCAGCATTCAGCCTAACTGAACTATACAATTTTGTTGATATTCTTCTTGTGGGTAGATGACAAGAAGTTAATATGGAGAAATGTAGGATGATAAAGTTTCATATTATGAAGTATTATTTTATTAGAATTTATTATTCTGTGTCTAAATCTAGCAGTGGACCGAGTCCTTCTGAAGCTGGAACAGGGGGTGAGGAGCAAGGGCAAGTAGGACAGCAGCAACAACAGCAGGGTGGACAACAAAGACAAGTTGTGGTCAGAAGATTCCAAATTGCAATTCATCTTGATTTGTTGCTCATATTAAAGTTGGCAGCAGTTATTTTTTTGTTCAACCAAGATGGCTCAAGAAAACGGCTTGTTTTACTCATATTTTTCGCTTCACTAATTTATCTGTAAGTCATAAAACTCCGTCTTCCTTTTCGCGTCTTCCGTTTCAGATAGTACTACCTTTATTCGAAATAAAGGTTTTTGTCGGATTTTAGAGAATCTGATGTACAACTTTCCACTCCAAAATTGATTTACATTCGGTTCAAGGGAGATAATTGATAACTACATGAACTATGCAAGACCTAAAGTACTACAGATAAAAGAGGAATTGTGGTGAAAAGAACTTGGGGAGTGCTAAGCTTAAAATTTGACATTCGAACATGAATAAAGAATGGGAAATTTACATAAATAGCCAAAGCAGATAGGTGGTTTCACTTTTTAGCCATCTTCTAACCTAAATTCACTTTTTAGCCAATCCTTATGTAGAAGGCTTACGCATATGTGTAAGGATTGGTTTTCAGCCAAAAAAAAAAAAGAATTCTTACGCATATACCTAAGGTTTCCACTTTCTGCGTAGGGGTTGGCTAAAAGGTGAATTTGGGTCAGAAAATGGCTAAATACTCAAACCTTATTTGCTGATTGGCTATTTCTGTCAATTTCCCATAAAAAATCTTAAAAGTTTATCCTACTGGTCATAATGAACCTTTCTGTGAGGTGTATCAGGTATCAAACTGGAGCTCTTGCACCATTAATACGATGGCTTTCACAAGGAATGCAGAGGGCTGCTGCACCTCCTCAACAACCAAGACCAGCTGCTAGGGCAGATAACGCCCCTGCGGCTGCAAGGCAAGAAAACGAGAATGCCCCTTTGGTAGCAGGTATTGTCTCTTTTCTTCTCACTAATCAGTAGGTTGACATATACTTTAAAAACATAGATAAATAAAATTTTGACTGTGTGAGCGTCTAGATCATCGTCAAATGCCGGACCATTTACCTGATGATTATCGCATTTGCTTTTGTTTTATCAAACATGAAAACCCTGATTGTGTCTTCCCAATTTCTTACTTTCCACAGTATTGTCCAATCTGAACATGTTTCAAGATGATCAATGTGATGCATGTCGAATGAACCAGTTTGGCTCGTTAGAAGTGTTCATATTGAATTTCTGTGGGCATACTAGTTGAAGATCAGAAGCACAGAAACTTACATCATGCTTTTGAGATATATATATATATATATATATATATATATATATATATATATAGGGTTGGTTCCGTTGAGAAGGAGAGTTAAAGTGAGAAGCATAAGAAGGGATGTCCACCCTTGGATGCACATTAGGATGATATACACCGAGATGCACAGGATCAATCCCCATATCAAGGGATCTCCAGAGCCTTTCTTATGCTTCTCACCTTAACTCTCCTCACACGATCCTCCGCTTATATGTATAGGGTGGTAATCATTTGAGAACCCGGTTATTTGTGAGAACTGTGAGATCCAACCATATCCACTATTTTAATGAGCATTCACAATATGATTTACCATGTCTAGATTTAATTTTTGAGACAAAAGCCACTCATGCCTTGGATCAATGAGCATCAACAGTATGAATTACCATGTCAGGGTTCAATGTTTGAAATAGAAAACACATTTGTTTGGATTAAGTAAGTAATCATAGTGTGAATTACCATGTATGGGTTCAAGTGTTCAACATGTGTGGCTCTAAATGGATCTCACAATTCTCACAGAATATAGAGTTCTCCCCTGTGAAGGTGCGGTTTTTTTATGTTCACAATGTTTTGTTGTGAAGTTTCAAGTGTAAAAAATGGTCTCACAGGTCTCACGAAAACATGTTGGTCTTACGTGATCCCAAGTCTCTCTCTCTCTCTCTCTCTATATATATATATATATATATACACATCATAGTTATCATGATAGACATATATTTGCACACAATCAACATGTTGAGTCAATGGATGGATGACTAGGCTCATTCTGTCTTGTTCTCTTTTGTTTTGAATTTTTGTTAGCAATACTAGGTATGAATATATATCATGATAGTTGATGATATTAGTCCAAACTGAACGAGCCTAGTATTATCCCATTCAGAGGTGGGGTCTGGGGGTAAGATGTAGACAAACCTGACCCCTGAAAGAGTAGAGCAATTGTTTCATGAAGACCCTTGGCCAGGGAAAAGTGTGTGAAAGGGTGAAATGCAACTATGCTAAAATTTGAAAAGCTAGACATGAGTATACGATAGCAATACAACTAGATGAAAGAAAGAATGATAGATATGCTAAGTTTTGAGAAACTAGGTATCAGTAAGCAACAACAATATAAATAGAAAAACATCTACGTGCATTATGTGCTCTTTTTCATTGTGTTATATAGTAAAGTTCTAGAAACCCCTTCGTTTTAGCATAAATTTTACTTTTGCTTAGCAATACTCCCTCCTTCCCAAATTGAGTGTCCAAATTACTATTTTAGTTTGTGCCAAAATAAGTGTCATTTCCCGTTCTACCTTTAATTATGAGATGGAGAAAGTTACTCTTTTGTTATCAAGGGTAAAAGTGTCATTTTGGTTATTTAAAAAGTATAATAGTTGCACATTCCTAAAATTGTGTGCCATTTTCATAGTGGACATTCATCACGGGAAACGGGATGGAGGGAGTATGTAATTATTATACTGTTTAATTAACTAAATGACAATTTTACCCTTAGTAATAGAGGGATAATAAGTTTCTCCGTCTCATAAATAAGGGTAGAATTGGAAATAAAAATGTGGACGCTTGTCTTGGGACAAATTTCCTTGGATATGGATTTACTTATAAGACTGATATGATTGTTACTAAATCAGATGGAGAAGGTGCAGCAGAAAATGAGAACCGGGTGGCGGGTGATGTAAATCAGGGCGAGAACGAACGTGAACATGGTGGTGAATTGAATGGAAACAACAGATGGTGGGGGATCGTAAAGGAGATACAATTGATCGTTTTTGGCTTCATCACTTCTCTTCTCCCCGGCTTCCATAACATCGATTAAGAACCAAATTGTTAAACGATTAGGTTTATATACTTCGGCCGTCATTTGCCAGAGATTGCAGGTTTGAACGTTTGCTATTTCAAGAAAGTTCAAAAAATATGATGACATTTTGTATCTTCAGTTTTCCTTATATGGCAATATCTGAACATGTTTGAGATAATTTGGTCATATGGGTTATCTATTCTTTTCATTTTCTACCCGAACCTTTGGACCGTTTACCGAATTCTTACTGGCGGTCACTTACCTTACTGGTTGATAGTATAATATTACAAATCGTAATATATCATCAATACTTACGTAATCTATTAGGACATGTTTGTTTTTCCAAAATTACTTCTTAATACTTCTGAAGTCTGATTTGTTCAGACGTTTGGGTATTAAAAGTGTTTGTTTTATTTCTTAAATAAGAGCTTAGAAGAAGCTCTAAATATTCTTCGAAATTTTAAGTGATAAACGTATTTCTCAATACCTCTTAATCCTAATCCGCCCTCTATCAGATGGTTCATATTTGGGGGTCGAAAGAGATTTCTTAGTAAAAACTATTTATCTTTTATACTTTTGTAAAAAAACTGTTGATTTTTTTATATTTTTGCACTAGTTAACCGATTCAGACTTCAGACATAAAAACAATTTTACTGATTCAGGTTTCAGACTTCTGGACCACCTTTGATAATCAGAAGTGAAATCATACGTCAGACTTTAACACCTCCTAAAATTAAATAAACATCAACTTAATTATCAGTCAAAATGAATAACCAATATGAAATTAATCCATCTGTCACACTAATTGGGGGAAAAATTCACACTAAAAAAACCGAAACAAACTTGATTGAATTTTAACCTAAATCAATTTGCAAATTGAAAATTTCTTCAATTAATTTTACGAGTTTTTTTTTTTTTGGGGGGGGGGGGGGGGTTACCAAACCCTTACCCTAAGTTTACCGGGTCATTCACCTTATTACCGGATAAATTATTGCATACGATGCCATTTTGATAGGCTAGACTCTTTACCTGCTAAGGTAAGTGAGTATTGAATCTTACTGGTAAACATTTATTGGATAAGCGTTTGAGTAAACATCCCCTTAGTCAAAGCTCTATACAGAATGTTGGTATGAATAATCTACCAAACGAGCTGTAGACTTCGATATTTATTGAAATGGGCAAAAATCGATATATATATATATATATATATATATATATATATCTATATAGGGGCTGGTTCAAATAGAAACCAACCATATGGTACAAACTATGTGAACCGATCTTGATCGTTCATTTTATCATCAAACGGTTATTATTAAATGAGATTAAATAAACAATAATTTAATTAATGTATTAATT